TAGCATACTTGCCACTATTTTAAAACTGTCAATTAAATACTGCTACAATATTTGTGTTGTGCTTGAAAATATGTACAGTTTTTTCAATAGTAAGACCTTCTGTTGTCCTTAAATCTCTCAAAGCGCCTTTATTTCAACATGACTTTTTTTTTTCAAACATTATCTTTTATAAACGTTAATAAAGAGTCATTGCTTCTAGAAACTCTAAAGGAGATAGTAGCTGGAAGCCCTCTGTAGCTTAAAATCCGTCATTAAAACTCACAATAGGGTAAGTAATTAGAACTACCTATTCTTACCATGTAAATAAGCATAATTTGTTCCAAAGATGAAACATTTGAAACTTGGTTCCTGTCTACTGTAATATATTACTCAAGTGCTACTGGACATTTCATGTGAAGAACTGACTTCCACAACCACAGCAAAGACCAGCTGGGAGCCGCTCGTGTGGCTCATGTGGCTGCTCTGCAGCAAATGGACTCATGCTGGTGTGTTAGAGCCTAAAGTATACGTATTCAGAACCTGCCGTGATTTTATTTCTAAATTCATGTACTGTACATCCTTAAGTGAAAATAAATGTCATACTCTTTTCTAACCACCGTTGGTATCATTCCTATACTTTGTCTTGAAAGGGATGTTCTTTATCTAACAATTTTTTTAAAAGCTTCTATATGGGGATCCCTGGGTGGCTCAGCAGTTTAGCGCCTGCCTTCAGCCCAGGGCATGATCCTGGAGACCAGGGATCGAGTCCCGCATCGGGCTCCCTGCATGGAGCCTGCTTCTCCCTCTGCCTGTGTGTCTGACTCTCTATCTTTGTGTCTCTCATGAATAAATAAATAAAATCTTAAAAAAAAAAAAGATTTTATTTGAGAGAGAGCACGAGCAGAGGGGAGGGGTACAGGGAGAGGGAGAAGCGGACTGCCCTGCTGAGCAGGGAGCCCCATGTGAGACTTGATCCCATGATTCTGAGATCATGACCTGAGCTGAAGGCAGATGCTGAGCCACCCAGGTGTAAGTAAGCAAGACATTTCATAGGTTCTGAAATCCTGCTTTGCAGGTATCACTTGAGAAATTCTGTTTTTTCTATTTTTTAGTTATAGATAAAACCAGGGAAACATTTAGTAAAGTATGATATCTATAAAAAGATTTCCCTGGAACCCCACCCCCCCAAAAGTTAGTTTTTCAGAATGACACAGGTCTTACCTGGGAGAGGGACAGTGTTGCCTATTAGAAAATGATCTCTCAGGCCACGGGAACGTGTGCATGAATGAAGTGGGCACGGTGGTGTCAACCCTTTGGCACCTAGGAGGCCCTCACTCACGGGAGTGAGGCGACAGTCCTTGGAGATGGACTTTGGGGTATACAGTCCCCCTCAGGAGCCCAGCAGAGCCGCCTCGGGCTGTGTCGTGCCTGTCCCTGGTGGCGGCTCCCAGCATGGGCTCTAGCAGCTTCCTTTCTTGCACACTGGTGAAGGTGAGCTGCCCCAGCAGCTTCCTGTGAAGAGGTTTTCAGGAATTCCCTACCACCCACCACCTGGGACCTTCTGCCTTCCCTCCGCTACATTAATCGGTGTTTTGTGTTTGGTCATCCAGCTCCTCCCTTCCATGGGGCAAAGAGAAAGGTTAACGATCCTCTGATTGCCTGGTTATGCTTGAGTATGAATGAGATTTTAGTCCATGTGTTACCCACGCGTCTGTCTGTGCTTTTATTTGCAGCTTTGGAATAGCAAGTTTGTCCAATTGAGGATCCTGGGGCTGGGAGTGGGGCGGGGGGGCGCGGTCCCCAGAATGATGTGATGCAGATTCCTCCATTCTGACAGCAGGGGATGGACTTGTGGTGTCAGGATTGGAGTTGTTGCACCAAGCCCAAGGCCTGGCCAGAAGGGCGAGGAAAATGCAGGCGTGTATGCGTGTGCAGGGGCAGGTGGTGCTGAGGGCAGCGGCTTAAACAGATGAGGGTCTCGGGGTTGTCTTGTTCAGAGTCCCGAGGTCAGAAGAAAGTATCCCAGTGAGGATATGTTACGTGTCGGTTGCCCCGTGAGGCCCCCCAGCACAGCTGCTCGGCCCAAGGAAGGCGGCAAGGCGGAGTGCCAGTCCTCCGTAACCTAAACTCAGGAGTGTCGTCGGTCACGTCTGCTGTTTCCCGTGTGTTGGAAAGCAGTCACTGGACCCAGCTCACGCGAGGGGAGGAGAGGAACCACACGGGGCAGGAGTGCCAGGAGGTGCGCATCTCTGGGCCATTGAGGAAGTCTGCCATCGCAGCCGGTGAGGAGAGAAAACCCCAAAGGCTGGGGACTCCAGGCTGGGGCCTGGAGAACCCGGTGGCCCCTGCAGGCGGTGCCGCATACATAGGCTGGGACCGCCTGCATAGCACACGAGCCCCGGAGTGGCACAGGACGACCATGACGTTTGTTCTGCTCGCACAACACTGCCTGGTAGGCCTTGCTCCTCTCTCCTCCGCTTGGCATGAGTGGTGTGGCTCCGAGGCCAGGGCCCCCCAGCAGCAGCAGCTCGCCCCTACTTGGGACGGGGCCGAGGGGAGGGGAGAGGGAGGAGGCGGACACAGGCTCTGCGGTGTGCAAGGGTCTCCCCGTCTGGAGCAGCTGCCCAAGGGCCCCGCGCCTGGCACAGCCGCGCTGCTGTTTGCATAGCTCCTGGCACCCTTCCCTCTGTGGAAGGAGCCCTGGGGAAGGACACCTCGCCCTAGAAGTTCAGGACCTCAGCTCAGTCTCAAGCTTCACTGCTTCCCTCCTGTGCTTTTGGGCACCCGTAACAGAACGGGGGAGAAGAGGCCCTGCACCTGTGGAGGCCCGTGTACTTCCCAGGGCCCCCCCACTACGTCCTCCCAGAGAGGTACTTGTCTTGCTTCACATTAACTCCTATTTCCTACTAGTTGAGGACGCCCGTGTATCCCTAGAGAGGTTCACGTGTCTGCGTGTTCATTTGGATTTATATATATATATTTTAAAGATTTTATTTATTCATGAGAGACACAGGCAGAGGGAGAAGCAGGCTCCATGCAGGGAGCCTGATGTGGGACTCGATCCCGGGTCTCCAGGGTCACGCCCTGGGCTGAAGGCGGCGCTAAACCGCTGAGCCATCTGGGCTGCCCTCATTCGGATTTTTTTTTTTTTTTTTTTTTTTTTTTTAGAAATGAACTCTTTTTTTTTTTTTAATTTTTATTTATTTATGATAGTCACAGAGAGAGAGAGGGAGAGAGGCAGAGACATAGGCAGAGGGAGAAGCTGGTTCCATGCACCAGGAGCCCGACGTGGGATTCGATCCTGGGTCTCCAGGATCACGCCCTGGGCCAAAGGCAGGCGCCAAACCGCTGCGCCACCGAGGGATCCCCCCTCATTCGGATTTATAGATCACAGTTCACTTTTACCCGATCTGATGCAGATGGACATCTGGTGGTTTCTGGGGGTAGCCCTTGCAGTCAGTTATGGGTTCTCCACACTCTAGGAATGCCTGCTTGGCTCTTTACTTTCTAGCTAGCATTTATGGGATGACCACTTTGGATCAGTCACTGTAGTTTGTGCTGCTGCGGGAGGAAAATGAGAAAGAGAGATACTTAGCTTAGCCTCCTGGCTCACAACGGAGAGTGTTTCTCCCTGGCATCTGCCCAGAAGACGAATTAGAAGCCAGAAATAGACAAGATAACATGAAAGCATCTTCTAAATTGGTTGTGCCATGTATATGCCTGGTGGTTCCATGTTACTACCAATGCCCGGTATGCCAAATGGGCCTAATTTTTTAATCTGGTAGGTATAAAATGGTATCTCATTCTGGCATATCTCCAATCATTGAGGACACTGAGCATCTTTTCGTAATTCTTTTTTTGGTCGTTGGTGTTCCTGTTCTGTGCCTTGTTGAGGTCTTTTTGCCTGTTTCTGTTAGACTGTCCTTTTTGATTTGTTGAAGTTCTTTATATTCTAGAGAGTAGTTCTTTGTTGGTTTATATGTGCTATATAAATCTTCTCACAGCAGAGTATGCAGGGCAGTATGTTAAACGCTCTTGCTTTTTGAAGAAAATCTAAGCCCCTGGCCTGGTCCACAAGGCCTTACTGACCTGACCCTGCCCACTCCATTCTAACCACAGGCTCCTTTCTGCTCTCTCTCACCCCTGGGCCTTTGCACATGTTGTTGCCTCTGCCTGGACAGATATTCCATCCTCAGAGGTCTTCCTCAACCACCTGATTGATGTGCTGCCCCTCTCACACCATCACTTGACCCATTTCTTGGCTTCTTAAAACCATCACAGTCTCTACTCCTCTCATTCGTTACCCATGACCATCGCTCTTCCCTCCCAGAATGTAAGTGCCCTAAAGATCAGGAACGTGTCTGTTCTGTTCAGCACCATCCCCAGCACCTACCCCAGGACTGATGTGCAACACACCAGTTGGTGATCTCAATAGAGGCTGATAACATGCAGGTAGGCGACCGTCAGGAAGTGGTTCCCATGTCAGAGACAGGTCAAGACATTCTGGTTAAGAATTTCCTATTTGTCGATGATGTTTTTGCCTTACAAGTGAATGTTTAAATCTGTTACCTATTTTTTTCTCTTCCCCTAATGTCAAATAGAAACTGATGGGAGAGTTAATTCTCTGACTCAGCTTTTCTGACAATAAAGTGGAACAACCACAAATTAATTTTTCTGCCTAACTCGTACAAAAGTCTAACACAATAGCTTGGACACACGCCCCCCCTCTCCCCCCCGGCCCCAGGACAATTGTGAGGGCACACTCAGGCCTGCTGCGGTTTCTCGCCTCCGCCAGAGAGAGCCCCCGAAACGGGCAGGCTGGGCATCATGCCTCTCAGAAGAGTTGAAAAGATTTTGCATCGATTCAGAAGAGCTCACACTGTTTGACATCCAGCAAATTAAACATTATTTTTCTGATCTTTCTTAGGGAATCTGACCATCACATGAGGGTTTTTGTCCGTTGTATCAGTGTGGTTTCATTGGCTGTGTGAGGGGAAAACGTGGAAGGGGATAGAAACAAGATGCCGGGTGGAGTCTCCTTTATTTGCTGTGTTTTCGGAATCAGCTTGTCTTTTTACATAATGAAGGAAAATCTTGTATGAAGAAAGAGCTCTTAAAACTGCAGCCAGTACCTGGCCCACAACCTATAGATACAGTTGTTTAGGATTTTATTTATGAGGATAATTGCTAAAAACCCTGATATTTCTCTCCCAGATTTCTTAGAGCTAAGTCAAGGGCCATTATGTCTCGAGCACTAATAGAAAGCTCCCTGGAGTCCACGATCTGGCCGTGGCATCATGGTGACTGTTACGTGGACAGGGATGAAACGTCCCCTTGTCCCCCCACCCCACCCCCAAGCCCTCCTGGTGGAGGATAGACAAACACCAGGTGACCAATTTTGTGCGGCACCTGGGAAATGGTCAACCAAGAATTTTTTGAGACAGGACTTACTCCTGGTTCAAGCGGATTACTGAGAAATGTTCTGCTCTTCGTGAAGTTCACAGAAACCAGAATAAAACTGAACCAAATGTAAGTGCTCGCACGCAGGTGGTTTGAACAGGCGGCCAGGTATAGTAACGCGGACATCCAGTCACTGAATAAAGCAATGATTTAGGACAACGTTGGTCTCCGTGGTCCTCAGGATACTCGGCATGTGGATCTGAAACACCCTGCTGGTGACTGGCCCTGGGAGCGGTGGCCCATGTCGTCAGACTGTGACCGTGCCAGGGTGAGGGGGGGGGGGTCCCTCTCTGTAAGGATTCAGAAACTGTGTGCCAATACAACAGTATTTGACATTGAGTGTGCCCACAGTCTCAGTCCTGATATGTAAGGTTTTTCTACGCTAAACCCTCTGATGGGGAATCAGAGGACCCGAGTATTAGTGGTTAGTAAATGCTGGAGCACGCATTTCAAAGGCAAGTGATTTGATTTTTTTTTTTTTAATGTAACTGGCCATGAGGTGAAGCTAGGAAGTATTGATAAGATGGCTGTAAAAGATAGCAGAAGACCTTCCTAATGCCTGTTTTCATTATATAGGACATTTATAGCATGAAAAAAGTTAAAAAACCAAAACCAAAACCTCCAGCTGATGTCCTTTGTGAGCGTTTGTCTTCAAAAATGTTTGTACGAATCTACCCAGAGAAACTTCCCTGAATTCTGTATGCCGGTGAAGCCAGAATGTTAGGGCAGGAAGGTGCCCTCTCCACTTAGGGATGACCTTGATCTACTTATTGCCGTTAAAAAAGACAGGAGACGTTGGCACAGTGGACTGATGCTGTATCATAAATATAGTGTCTTCAGTTCCAGGATGTTCTGTTAGAGTTATATACACTTTAGGAAACTTATGTACAAATAATTTAAAATTGATCGTAAGTGATGTTCATGGTCTTTGCTATATAAAGAGTCGGGCACCATGTCCAAATATCACATCGTCTATGGGCAAGTTAGATTTGCTTTCACCCTCCAGGTGGCTCTGGCACCTTTTCCGATGTGTAACCCCCCGGGGTAGGGGCCGTCTGCACAGACTGCTCAGGTGGTTTGGGGTTGTGAACTGTAGTTGGGAAGACTGGTCCTGGACCCAGTGTGAGAGACCTCAGATCACGGAAGTGACCCCCTTTTTATGGATCCCAACAAAGGCCTCCCCTCTGCCAGGTCAGCCAGTCCTGTGAGTGTGAAGAACACAGCAATTGCATATTCACCATGACTCAAAAAAAAAAAAAAAAGACCTGATTTTGCACGAGTGATGTTCAGATCTGTCCTCTCAGGTGCTTTAAAAACAAACAAAAAAACCCTCTTTTCAAACTGATCTGAAAAACAATTGCCCTCGCACCTGGGTGGCTCCGTGGTTGAGCATCTGCCTTTGGCTCAGGTCTGTGATCCCAGGGTCCAGGGATCAAGTCCTGCATCAGACAACCCCCAAGGAGCCTGCTTCTCCCTCTACCTGTGTCTCTGCCTCTCTCTCTCTGTCTCTCATGAATAAATAAATAAAATCTTTTAAAAAACAAAAAAACAATTGCCCTCTGATATTTTGGAATTTTTCCAAAAGAAAAAAATCGCTTTAAGTTTTATTCTGCAAAAATTATGGTCAGATTTAAGCTCACAGTGTGTCTGAGTTCTAGGACTTCCCTAGAATCAAGGAAGCAATTGTCTTCAAGACTGGCCTTGAAGAGCCTGCGTCTTTGGTGACAAGGAGGCAGCACAGTGCGACCCGGGGGGAGGCAGAGGGGACCAGGGGCTGCTCTGCAGGTGGAGTGTGGGTCCCAGGGACCCTTATTCCGCGGTTCTTCTTGGTGGACTCGGGGACGACGGGCTGAGTATTTCTGGAGTAAATAACTGCAAAAGCAGCCGAGGAGATTCCACCTGTAAATCGTAGCCGCAGAACAGTGAGCTCGGTCTCCGGGAAGCCCGTCCTCAGGCCACGGGGGGCGTGTCTCCCTTCCTCTTGAAGCAGCGCATGATGAAAGTCCCCAGGGCCACCAGGGGGATGCACATGGTGGAGGAGGCCACCAGCAGTCCAATGACGGCCAGTGCGTAGGGGGGGTAATCCTTGGTCACGAGCTGACCCTGAAAGAAGAAGCTGAGCGTCAGCGCCAGGAGGCCCGGCAGGCAGAGAGCTTGGCTTGGCCGAGAGGCTGTGGGCGGCGGGACTGTCTGGGATCGGGCTTCCTTACGGGCCACCTGGCGCAGCAGCTCGCTGGCAGGTGTGCGGGGGACACTAGTTCCCCTTGGCTGCTTTCTCTTCCGAGAAGTTTTCTTTCTAAATTTTATTTATTAATTCATGAGAGACACAGAGGCAGAGGGAGAAGCAGGCTCCATGCAGGGAGCCCGACGTGGGCCTCGATCCCGGGCCTCCAGGATCAAGTCCTGGGCTGAAGGCGGCGCTAAACCGCTGAGCCACCCGGGCGTCCCATCCATGAAATTTTCAACCAGCGCGCATACAGCCGCTACTTGGCTCTACGCCTGAAGAGTAACCACAAAAACAATCAAGGGCCTTTCATTTGAGGCACCATCAGGGCACCTAAATGTAGGGGGCTAACCTTCCTTAGGCCCCTGCTGTCCAACAGAACCTTCTGGGCTGATGGAAATGTTTCCGTATCGGTGTCCAGCATGGCAGCACCCAGGCACAGGTGGCTACCGAGCACACGCACATGCACTGTGGCCATGGGAGTGAAGAACTGAATTTTAAATTGTATCACGTTGTAATGAATTTCAGTGTAAATAGCCACATGTGACTGTTGGCCACCATCCTAATGGCACAGCCCTAGTCTTACAAGAAGTCTTGATGGACCTCTGGATTTAGTTGGTGGATGTTTCCCTGAATGCACATGCTTTAAAGCTGATGAGAAAACGTGGCCAAGGGACACCTGGGTGGCTCAGCAGTTGAGCACCTGCCTTTGGCCCAGGGCGTGATCCTGGAGTCCTGGGATCGGGTCCCACATGGGGCTCCCTGCATGGAGCCTGCTTCTCCCTCTGCCTGTGTCTCTCATGAATAAATAAAATCTTTTTAAAAAAGTGGCCAAAAAGCCAGTAAATGTCACCTTTCTATGCGGGAGCCACAGAACAGCTACGTCCCGGGAGAGCAGGTGTTTGCTGCCAACCAAGCGTGGTTTGTAAGCCAAAACGTGGCTTAGAGTGTGGTGTGGGAACCGCCCACAAACTTCTCGTTCCTCCCCAGTCCCTTTCTTTTGTTCTGTCCTGACCAGTCCAGAAAGTGGGAGGAAACACGTAGAAGCTGCTTTAGCAAATAGGCAGCTTCATCTTGAGTTTGTGCATATAAGAAATAATTGGAGCCTGTATTCTATGTATCTTTTCTCATTTCACTTTTCGACTGGTTCGGGCCTTGCATTTTATGAAAGTGTCAGGCTGCTATGGATTGGGGAAGACACCCCGGCCCCCCCACCGCCACTGGAACCAGGGTGGGAGCGCCTCCAGCCACCATCAGTTGTGTGCTCACGTGGAGCTGTGTCCTTCACCCCCCTTCTCTGCACGCCACCATGCACACTGGACACTGAGGGACACGTCCTCTACCCCTGGGCAGACGAGTGCCTGCTGGCCTGAAGTGTTACTGTCCTCACAGCATAAATATTCCCCATGAGAGTGAGTCTGTGTAGGGACAGCCAGGGCTGGCCTGCAGGCCAAGGGCATCCACGTGGCCGCTCTGGTTGTTCACACACATACGGATGGACACCTGCCCTTCCGGTCAGTGCACGGTGGCTGCCTGGTGCCCTGAGTGAGCCTGTTCTGTCCCAGCTGCACCCAGAGCCACAGCCGCCCAGGATCTGGCCATGCAAGTGCAAGGGCAGGTCCCCTTGGACTCCTGTGGCATCCCTTCCAGGGCCTGGGCCCACGCCCTCCGGGCTCCCTCTGCCTTTCCCGAGGAGGCCTAAGTGGTCAGAGGGCCTGCGGCCGAGGAAGAGGGTGCTGCCCAGGCGGGAACCAGTCCCAGCAAGAGGCCTTCTGGCCACCGGCACAGGTCCCCTGGGAAGTTCCCATTCCCTTTCCCAGAGCACATGTTGGAAAACTCAAAGCCCACTTGCTGCTGTCCTGGGCTGAGTAAATACCCGGGTGATGCTTCTGTGTTGAGACAAATAACCTGCCCACACCGGGGAAATGGTTCTTTGGTTTCAGAAAACTGAAAGCTGGTGCTCGAGAGCGAGCCCCGGGGAGTCCTGAGACAGAGGGTACCTGGGAGGCGTCCCAGGCTTGGTACTTCAGGGTCCCCGTGAGGATGTAGTCAGTCAGGTAGAAGACAAAGAGGCTGATGATGAGCAGGGGGCTGACGCCGGCCCAGATGACCTTCCAGTACCAGTTCAGAGTGCGGCCAGTCATGGCCTTGAGGTCACTTTCAAATCTATTTGGAAGATGGGGAGAAAGTCTGGATTATCCATGCTGTTGGGGTGAGGGGGCTTCAGCTTTCATATCCCTGTGGTCCCAGGAAGATGCTGTTCTGAGCACCATCGATGACCTCTTGCGATCCCTCTCTGGTACCTCCTGGGGAGAGGGTGAGGGCAGGGGGTGGAGGGGGGAAAGGGCTGAGGCCGCCGCAGAGCAGTGGAGCAAGGCAATGAACCACCCCATAGTTAGGGGGACTTCCGAAGAGATCTTCCCGGTGCTACCTTCGGAGGAAGGCGCTGGTGTAGACCAGGGGGCGGCTCCCAGCGGCGGCAGGAAGAAACAGCAATGCGGGACATTTATCAAGCCAGCCATCAACCCTGGGGAGGGGGGTGCCCAAGCTCTGCCCCCCCTCCTCTGTCCTGGTATCAGCGACTCTATACTGCACATAAAAATGCCTCCAGAGGGGGAATCTCTTTTGTACCCTGGAACCAGAGCAGGTTTGCTGGGGCAGAGGGGAGAGCCAAACCCAGGAGCAAAGCACTTTGGGCCAGAGCAGCGGTCCCCAAAGGTGGCTGCCCGCAGACACCGCTGTGATGGCCATCGTGTCTGCGGACTGTGTCTTTTTCTTCCCTTTAAACGGAGTCTCTTCCTTAAATTTAGCAATAGTGCAACAGCATCGATTTTACCGTGGGTGTGACAAGCTACTCATGCTGATAAAGACACAAGTAAGTATGGAAAGTATCTTCAGCACTTTGGGAGATGCCCACCCAGCCATCATCCCATTTAACAGCAGAAGGCATCAAGGCCCCAGGCTGTGAGGTGACTTGCCCGAGGGCACCCAGGGTAGTTTTAGGCCCAGACCCAGGCTTAAAACCCAGGTTGGTGTACTGCCTCCCGTCCAGGGTCTTGAAACTGCCCCCGAGGCGCTCTGGCCTTGGAGAGGGGTGGGGGTGGGGCGGCGTGAGCCTGTCACCAGCTGCAACCACAGCCACCTGCCACACTTGGGCCTGTTTGCATGTCCTGAGTTCCCGCAGAAGCCTGCAGCTTGTCACCTGCTCCCATGCTGCTGCTGACCTGGCTGACCCCTGGGTTCCAGGCCATGAAGGCTCGTGTCCTTCGTGTGAGTACCTGAGATTTTCAAGATTACACGTGGCAGAAAGGGCTGGGGTTCTCTGTCCCTTCACATCCTCTGCCCCCCACTTTCCTGGATAGAGAAGGTTGGGAAGAGCAGCTGGCTGGGTGGGTGGGTGGGTGGGGGGAAGGTGACATGGCACTGTTGCTAGGTGTCACTAGATGGCGCTGTCCCCTGTGCAAGCAGAGAGAACTGCTACAAATTATACCCCACTCTTTGAGATTCACGATTGTCTTCAAGGCTCCAAGAAGTCCAATAGGAAAGAAATCTTGGCTTTTATGGCTTATTATGTCCTGAAATTATTTGATCATAGGAGTCCCTTGGTGTGACAGGAGACCCCAGGGCTTCCCAGACACAGTGGGGAAACGTGGCTCAAGGGGTCTGGTTTCTGGAGTCATGGCTGGTCCTCCCCATCCCCACCCCCCCTCCAAACCAGTTTGGAGGATGGGAAAAGACGGAGGATGGGGGGCACGACTTGACACACCTTTGTAATCGGCTCACATCTGAGCAGTGCTTCCCAAAGTGCAGTGTGCCTTGGATCCCTCACGCTTAAAACGTCGGATCTGATTCAGTGGGCCTGGGTGGGCCCCAGATCTCACATTTTAAACAAGCTCCCTAGAGGCGCCTGGGCGGCTCAGCGGTTGAGCGTCTGCTTTTGGCTCAGGGCCTGATCCCAGATCAAGACCTGCATTGGGCTCCCTGCATGGAGCCTGCTTCTCCCTCTGCCTAGGTCTCTGCCTCTCTCTGTGTCTCTCATGAATAATAAAATATTTAAAAATAAATAAACAAGCTCCCTGATATCACTGAGACTGCTACTCTGGAACCACACCTGAAGTAGCAAGGCTCTCTAGACCCGTGGTTGTCAGACTGAGGTCCCCAGACTCCCCCCGGGAACTTGTTAGCAGCATGAGTCCTTGGGCAGCTCTCTGCACCTAGGTGATTAGAAGCTCTGGCGTGAGGCCCAGCAGGTCAGAACCGACCGTCCACACTCAGGTTTGGAGTCTGCTCTAGACCAGGGGTCTCAGCCCCACCGCGCCTGCCATCGCCTGGGGAGATTTAAAACATTCCGGGGCTGGGATGGAGAACCTGACATCCTGAATCTGCAGCACTTTCTAGGGTGTAAGTTATGCACTGGACTTTGGTCAGCGCGCTCGAAAAATACTGATGTTCACGGATGATCAGAGTGTCTCGTGCCTGGAGGCACGGTTCCCTGCCCGGGTAAGCCGCTGGGGTCCGGCAGGGTCCACGGGCGAATATCCTATAACAAAAAGTAAAAATACAGGAAGTGGAGAGAGGAGGTATGAGCGGAGGGTGGGATGAAGGAAGAGAACCAGCCGCGCACAAGGACAAGCAATGCCAAGCTGGAAGCTGGAAGCCAGGGGTGGAGGGCCTGCTGGAGGGGGCGTGGCCTCCGTGGGGGCGTGGCCCAGGGCGGGCCCCAACAGGGGCGGGGCTCGTCGGGGCGTGGTCCGGCGGGGCGGGGCCTCCGTGGGGCGGGGCCCCAACAGGGGCGGGGCTCGTCGGGGGCGTGGTCCGGCGGGGCGGGGCCTCCGCGTGGGCGGGGCCCGGGGCGGGGGCGGGGGCGGGGCCTCCTCACCTTCTCAGTCCGTACACGTAGCACACAGCGATGGTCTCCACCAGGACGATGAGCAGCAGGGACAGTGTGGCAGCGTAGTCATTGAATATGTCGAACCAGTAGTTGCCGGCCTCCATGGTGAACACCAAGCCGATGACACAGTTGACGAGGCACACCAGACCTGGGGCCGCAAGACCACGCGCTCACCAGCCTGAGACACCCGCCCGCCCATCCAGCTTCGTCTGCGGCAGCAGAGCCGCGGACCCCAGGGGGACTGTGCCGGGGCCTGGCCTCCCTGCCCGTGTGTGCCACAGGTGCGTGGGTTCAGGGGCGCCAAAGGTGTCCCCGAGGAGGGGTGTCTGCACAAGTCGCTGATGTCAACTCAGGGAGCTGTCCTGCATGCAGGGGGCGTGGAGCTCAGTGGAAAAGAGAAAGTTGTGGGCACTGCTGTCTAAGGGGGTGTCCCACCCAGCCTGTTTGCCCCAACAGATCAGCCCCTGAGCTCACAGATTTGCGCTGGCAGGGGCACCCCTCCCAGGACTTCCTAGGGAGGACTCACACCTGGCCAGAGAGGGAGTAGGGAGGGGAGGGGAAGATAGGAATGTTTACCCAGCTCCCTCCCGCTACTGTGCCCCAGGCACACGGCATACATTGGATCCGGTAGTCTGGGGACCCCCTTTCACAGCTGGGGAAGCCAAGGCCCAGAGATATGGAGTGGCTTTCCCCACATCCCACAGCATGCAAGTGGTGGAGTCGGGATTCAGACAGAGGCCCCTGTGCCTCCAGAACTGAGGTTCTTGTCCCAGTCTCCTTTGGCTGACTCCCCCCGGGGACTCCATGAAGTTTTTGACTGGGAACCTCGCACCTGCCCTTCCCAGCGCCACACCATATACCACCAGTCACCAAACCCCAGTGCCATCTTGAGAGGACACACAAGGAGAAGGGGCTACGTTCTGGACACACACGCCACACGCACGCGTCATGCGGCTACAGAGGCCAGGCGCAGGGAGGGATGCTCAGCACTAGAGGGTTCTGACAAAGGGTGGGCAGCTCCACCTGGGTGGTCGGGATTTTAGGGGATGGGATGAGAACTGGGTGGGATCCGAGAGCTGGGAGAAGGGATGTCCTAGATGCAGTGGGGTGGCGTCATCATGGGCAGGGGTGGGGGCCACAGGGTCCCCCAGACACAGCCAGGAAGGATGGAGCAGATGGATGGTGGAGTGAAGAAGGGAGGGGGGGTGATTAGAAAAAAATAGGTTCCTTCCCTAAGAACGCCCCCACTCCGTCCTCCCCGCCCCCCGCAGCAGAATGGGAAGGTGCATGGTGGTGGGTGGTCTTACAGGGGATCATTTATCACACAGGCAGGAAAGGGACAGACTCGCAGCCACTTGCCACAACAGGGTGAACCGCACAGAGTTTGGTGAAGACAAGAGATACAAGGAGCACAGACGGTGTGATTTCATTTATAGGAAGTTCACGAGTGGGAAAAAACAATCCTAAATGGTAGCAGTCAGAGAGAGGTGGTTTTGGGGACAGAGGTCAGCGTATGGACCGGGAAAGGGTGGCAAGGGGCTCTCAGGGGCGGTGGGGATGCTCTGTATCTTGACTTGGGTGGTGGTTACTTGGGTAGAAACCTGTAAAACTCATTGAGTTTGTGTTTAAGCAATGTACACATGATAATTGTTACACTTCAATTAAAACAAAGACAAAAAAGCAGGTCCTCTCCTAGCCTGAAGAGTTTTGAGCACCACGTTGGTGACTTTGGCCTTTCCCATGGCTGCAATGGAGAAGCAGAGGCAAGGGCGCGTCACACAGACCAGGTCCTTGATGGCCCGGAGGAAAGACCATGGCAGGACCTCTGGGAGGTTGGCACGTCGACGAGCACAGGGTCCTGTGGCAGCTCTCCCATCAGCTGGCGCCCCACGCCCGGCCCTCCCGGATCCAGCCTCCTCCATGGATTGGCCCACTCACCGGAGATGGCCTCCTTGGGCAGGTGACGGGAGATGACCTTGCTGTCGGTCAGAGGCGTGAGGATGGCCGCCGTGTTCCCCAGCATGCTCCCAATGCCCAGCATCAGCAGCATCAAGAAGTAGAGCACCGACCATAGCTGCGACACCTCCATGTTTTTAATGGCCTCAGTGTAGACGATAAAAGACAGGCCAGTGCCCTGGACTGCCTGCCCGTGGTAAGAAGACACCGGTTACACACCCAAGGGACATAGGACTCCTCAAGCACACCCGATGCTAAGCAATTTGGGGGACCCTGGAAGTGGCCATGAGAAGCCACATTCTGAGGTTGGCTTTGCCATCTGCAGCCCGGCCCCTCAGGCTTAGCGGGGCTGGGTAGAAGTGGGACCCGTCAGGAGTCCGTGTTGGCAAATGTTCCAAGTCATCTTGGAGTACTGAGCTCCTCTCACCAGCTCCAACTCACATATGTTCTGGATGAAATACAATAAAACAAGGTTTGGATCATTTCTGCTTCCAGTGTCATGACCACCTAGGTGTTCTGAGTCCTCAGTGGCTGGGAGCCGAGGTGGGCAGGTGGAACCAGAGCAATGGGAGCCAGAATAGTGGGGAGCTGGCCTGGCCGGCGGGCAACCAAAATGACGGGATTGCTCCGTGGCCAGATCCCTGCAGCGATAGCACTGTTGTGGGGATACTGAACTGTGGAAACAGAGCTTGGAGCTCCTGCTTAATGACATACCCTCAAGAGGGATGAAAGAGGTCTTGGGTTCGAGGGTGCCCCTGGCTATCAGCAGCAGAAGCAAACCCTCTCTGGGGCAAAGCTCCCTTAATTTAGACCTGCAGGACCATCAGAGATGATCAAGCAGTGAGCTTGCAAACAGATGTATAAACCCCAAGATCGGACGCCTGGGTGGCTCAATAATTGAGCATCTGCCTCTGGCTCAGGTTGTGATCCCGGGGTCTGGGATTGAGTCCCACATCGGGCTCCCTGTGGGGAGCCTACTTCTTCCTCTGCCTGTGTCTCTGCCTCTCTCTCTGGGTGTCTCATGAATAAATGAAATCTTAAAAAAAAAAAAAAAGACCCATACGAAGACAAGCCACTGAGTAAAGAGTCAGCAGGAATAATTCCCTCAGAATGGCAGATGTTGGATTGGCAGATTCAGAACATAAGTCAGCTCTGTGGCATACTGATGAGCACAGTGGGATTCTCCAGCTCTGGGTGCAGACATCAGGGGTGAGCATTTGTAGAGAATTCACAAAGGGTAACAAAACCTGCTAACGTTGGCTTGCTTTTTATCATTATTATGAGTCCACACATCCTCCACAATGTCAGGGATAGCTATGTGTACGACACTTCCAAAGAAACAAAAGGCAAAATTGCCAAGATAAACATATCAGAAGGAGCTACTAGAATGAAAAGCAAATTTGAGGGAGAAAAAATCGTGTCTAACAAATTACTGAACCAAAAGGCTCCACCGGCAGCTAAATACCACTTGCAGCTGAAGAGAAAATTAGTGATCTGGGAGGTGTATTTCAGGAATGAATCCATAATGAGGAAAAGAAAAGAAGGTGGGAAAACATAAAAGAGAAATGAGGGGACATGCAGGGAGGGATGAGAAGATGTAGAAGGAATTCTGGACAGAGAAGAGAGACAGAAGTATAGGTGACGAGTAAGAGGTAACAGGTATTAATTTTCCAGAACTGGTAAGATACACGGATCCGTGGATCCAGGAAGCCCAACCATGCCCAAACCCACATTGCATAAATAGAAATACACCCGTGCTTAGATAGCAGAGGGCAGAGTCCAAGGAAAGGGGACAGAGAAATCCGAGAGAGCTCTGGAAGCCAGAGGGCTTTGAAGAAGGACAGGACATTATAAGAGCCTCCATGGAAGCCAGAATCACATGGCGAATATCTCCAAAGTGTGGAGAGAAGATCACTGTGAACCTGGAATGTTCTATGTAGGAGAAACTGTCTTTAAAAAGAGGGGCTGAATATAGACATTTGCATATAGACAAAACCTGAGGCAATGCATCATCAAGGAGCAGGTACCGTACACCGGGAACTAATATAGCACTGTATGCTAATTATACTGGAATTAAAATTAAAAGAAAAAAAAACAACCTGCTATAAAGGGTTGCATTTTAAGGGAGGATAAAAAATCCCAGAAGATGTCTGGGTGCCAAAGGAAATGCTGAGCAGGTAAAATGGCAAACGTGCAGGGAAGGGTAGACACAGTCGTATGAAACGACACCCGGGGCAGCCCGGGTGGCGCAGCGGTTTAGCACCACCTTCGGCCCAGGGCGTGATCCTGGAGACCCGGGATCGAGTCCCACGTCGGGCTCCCTGCATGGAGCCTGCTTCTCCCTCTGCCTGTGTCTCTGCCTCTCTCGGTGTGTCTCTCATGAATAAATAAATAAAATTAAAAAACAGCAACAACAACACCTGTATCCAGCTTACAGGCTCAAAAGGACAGAGCCGGACACAGACGGTATTTGAAACCAGAGGGATGAGATGAACGTGCTCTACAGTCCTTGTTCTGTTTGGGTGGGACGTCAAGATCTTGTTGAACCTCAGGTGTTGTTAAGTTAAATGTGCATGGGACAAATTCGAGAGAAGAAATTCGCTAGATCAGCTCCAAATAGAGAATAAAGCAGCAGGGCGGGGCGGGGGCAGGGGGAACAGAGGGTAAAAACAGGAACAAACGTATAACAAGACAGTCTGAATAAATCAGCAACCACATAATTCTTGGACACTGAGCCAAGCTCAGATGTAAGTGTGGAAAACTCTCAGGGGCCCTAAACAAAAAGGAATTTTGAAATGAAAACACCCACCAGGAGCTGAGGCCCCAAGGGGAGGGATTGAGGCCTCAGAGGCGGGGGCTGGGGGTCAGGCCGGGGTGCACTCAGTTGGCTGCCTACTGCGTGCAATGAGCTGATCAATGACAGTGATGCCAACCGAATGCCCGAGAAGGTGGCCCTTACTGACAGGTGCTGGTAGACAAGCCACAGAACGAGCTCCGGGTCCGTATGTTACCAGTTGCTGTGCTTTAAGCTGTTTAGCTACACACTTGGCTGAGGAACCAGACACCGCTCGCCACGGCTTCGACAAGAACGCACGTGATCCCAGCATGAAGGCCACAGAAGCAGCTACAGGCCTGGGGTCCTCGACTACGGCACCCACTGACCCAGTCACTTGCAAAGAAGCTGCTGCTACATCGCATGAAAAGCATCTGGGAAATAACACGTGGGTTTGACACTAAGGCTGCCTCGAGAATCTTCCTTGGCTTGTGCTTTGTTGTGGGAGGCTCTCCAAGGTCCCTGTGGGCGCTCTCCGCGGAGGGAAGCAAGCCGAGACCCCACCCGCGCCTTACCGTGGCCAGCTCTGATTGCAAGCTGCAGTTTTTAATTTGTGGGAGCACCTCGCTGTATTTGCTGGGGAAGGCGGACGCCAGGTAGCTCTTCACCTGCTCCAGGTTGCTGGGTGTCAAAAAGCCATCTTCAAGGTCAAAAGAATTGGTCAGCAGCAGAATCACCCTACAGAGCAGAGCACCAGATGGACCTTCGCTGGTTAGCAAGGCCATTGTCACTGAACCCCCTCAAAGCCTGGGTGCCGGGGGTTCCTCCCCATCCGATGGGGCGAGGTCTCTCCAGCAAAGGGAATCTTGATTGGTAACCTTTAAAGTCTGGGGTGATTTTGAATGGCTTTGGAAGAGACTCGAACAGGACCAGAGATGAGAAACCAACCCGCACCCCTCAGCCACCTTCACCTCTGGGCCGACACTGTCCCGACAGAATGTGATGGGAGGGATGCCCTACCCCCGCGCCGTCCTGTGGGGCCCCCACAGACCCATGAGCGCTTGAATTGGTGAGCCTCACCAAGAAAACCACTTGAGTTCATTTACATTTAAGTGGAAATCAGTTTTAACAAAAATTTAATTCATCGACTTAACTAAGATCACAGCTGCTTCGATTCATTAAAAGTGAATCAATGAATTTAGTGAAGTGAATTTTTAAAGATTCACTTCATGATGTCAATCAATCTCCATTTAAATCTGTAGGTAGCCACTTGTGGCCACTGACTCACTCCCGTGTGGGACAGTGATAGACATGGATGAGGTTTGTCGTGTTTTGGGTAAGGGAGGGCGCAGGGAGTGGGTTCTGGGACCTCCATGGATCACCCAGAGAGCACTTGATGGACTAGAAGAAACCACGGTTTGTCTGTTGAACTGCCCTCAGTCCCCAGGCGGGGTGCCCGGGTTGGGGCCCCAGGTGGAGGGCTGTGAAGCTGGTGGCCTTTGCCCCTGCCCCCTTGCCTTCCCGGCACCCATCTCTTCCCAGGCAGACCTGGGAGCTTGGGGGAACGCACCCCCCAACCTGAGGCCCAGGGCTCCCGGGTGGCCGGGCTGGGCTTACTTGTCCAGGCAGCTCTCGTAGTTGAAGGTGGCTTTGAAGCCATAGATGGAGAAGGTCACGATGCTGGCGAAGATGGAGGTGGAGCTGTTGATGAGGGACACGATGATGGCGTGCTTCTGGCAGTTGTTGGACGGCTGGTTGTAGCTGGCAAAGGCGATCAGGCTGCCGAAGCCCAGGCCCAGGGAGAAGAAGATCTGGGTGGCCGCGTTGATCCAGGCCTTGGGGTTGGCCAGCTGCTCCAACTGCAAAGCCCACAGGGGACGGGGCCAGTGAGCCACCTCTGTGACCGACGGGCAGGGGCAGGAGGTGCAGAGAGGGGACCGAGAGGGTGTGCCAGGGGCCTGGGGCCACAGCCCAGCTCTCCTGGCCCCCTGGCCGGAGCCCGTCTGCTCCCCAGCAGCTGAAGCGCACGCATCACTCAGGCCCGATGCTCCCCAGCGCCTTTCCCAGCCGACGTGTGCAATTGCAAGAAGCGGAGTGAAGTCATTTAAACGGGCGCCGAGCCCCTGACCGTGAGCAGCGGGCCTGCGCCTGGAGGGACGGAGGTGGTGCGGCCTGGTCTGGAGGTCTCGGTCTGGGTTAATGCTGGGGGCCATGTGGAATGTGGGGAGCATTCGGGGTGGGGGGGTGCTGCCCCCACAGCCATTTTGTTTATAGGGGCCGGATTTGCTAAATGAAGAGCTCCTTTTGTCCCAAAGGCAACAGTGCCCCCGCCTCCCGTCTCCACACCCCCTGCTGCTGGATGAGCGTTGGCTGTGGGGTGCCAGGGAGCACAGAATACCCTGCGGAGTGTGGATTCTTCCCTATAGGGAAGGGGTACGTGGAGGTGCACAGCCAGGAAAGACAGGTGGTTGGGGCATGAATCACGTAGTCCACAGGCTGCCAGGAGGGTGCGAGCTGAGAGTGGATGGGCCAGGAGACCAGACTTGGGGCTGTGGTAGTGGTTGGTTGGGGCGCAGGGAGGACAAAGAGGAGGAGTGAACAAAAGAGTCAGTGCCCCAGAATGAACGGGGCTTGGGGCCGGCCTGGTTGAGGAGGTCACCCAGCGCCCATGGGCAATCCACTCTGCTGCCCCAGCCTGGTGGGCTCCCACCCACCTCCCTGGGTCTTCCCCTCTTTCCACCCATCCTGGAATATGGCAGGTCCCCTTCCCTCCAGCCGGTACCTTGGGGGTGAACATGTAGGCCAGGCCGTTGGTGGCTCCATGGAGCGTGAGGCCCCTGACCAGGTAGATGAGGAGCACGCAGTAAGGCAGCGACGCGGTGAAGTACACCACCTGCGGGCACCAGGGGGCACCAGAGGGCAGAGTCAGCCTCGGAGACGCGGGACCACAGGGCCCCTTGGTCCCTGGGACAGACCCCTGGTCCCCATAGAGCACACGGCACCGTCCTGGGCGACGGCTGGAAAGGCATGGCCACAGGCTCTGAGTTTGGGCTGGGGAGCTGGGGTGCTGGCATGCATTTCCCCGCCTCCGTAACCGCCAGGCAACCTGCTTCCTAGACCAGAGGAAACTGGGTCGAGGCCTCTGCCTCCCACCCTCCCTGCACCCAGGGTTTTCTGCAGAAAGGATTTGGGTATACCTAGGGCATTGCTAGTTTTAATTGCTAGAAGAGAGACAATGTGAGCGATCCAGGAAGATGAGCCCAAAGAGAAAGATAGCCCACAGGGTGTGTGTGTGGGGGGCTGGACCATCTGGGAACCAGATTCCTTCCCCATCGAGCTTCCTAGTGGCCCCCATGCAGCAGAAAGCACCATCACCTACACCATTTATGGCGTCTTTAAAGAGAAAAAGAAACTCAGGGCCTTGGATCAAGGGCACGTGTCTCCAGAACTGAGACCAGGGAGAAGCTTGGTCATGAGGGCTCGTGAAGGAAAAGTGGTGATGGTGGTGTGGGGATGGTGTCCCTATCAGAAATATGACTGAAATTCAACAATCTGAGCTTGTTTTTTTTTTTTTTTTTTATAAAAGGCTTCACTCTTGCGGGCTTTAAAGCTGCACATGAATGGAGTTTTTGGTCAATCAGGTCTTCTCGGGAACCCTGGGTGGCACAGCGGTTTAGTGCCTGCCTTTGGCCCAGGGCATGATCCTGGAGACCCGGGATCGAATCCCACATCGGGCTCTCGGTGCATGGAGCCTGCTTCTCCCTCTGCCTATGTCTCTGCCTCTCTCTCTCTGTGTGTGTGTGTGACTATCATAAATAAATAAAAATTTTAAAAAATGGGTTGTTGGATAAATGGGTCAAAGCAGCAGTCCTAATTATTAAAAAAAAAATCAGGTCTTCTCTTCCCTTTTTTTTTTTTTAGGTCTTCTCTTCCTGCTGACATGCATCACAAGCTCAGTGGCATTTTATCCTTGGTTTTCGTGGTAGTTTCAGCAGTCTCGTACTTTAGTTCTGCTAACTCTAACTCATCCACTGCCTTCAAATAGGGACCTCCAAGCGCACGTGTGCCTGTCCAGGACCGTCGTCTTTCCTCTGTGTCGACTCAGATGTGCACCAGAGCCTCTTTATGTAAAGCACAGAAATACTTTGCAAAATTCTATTCTGCGAGATAGAATTGCTTGAAGGTTGGGTCCTCATGTGGGAAGAATTGGTCCTCATGTGGGACATCTGGTTGGAGGCCCATGTCCAGATGGGCTTGGATGGGATCGCACTCGGCCCTCCATTCCTACTGAGGTGTGGCACCATCATCCTGGAAATTCCCAAGGCCACCAGAAGAGCGGTTGTGCCCTCTCACCCCGGGCACACAGGCAGAGGTGGGGCCTGCCTGTTATCATTGGTTCTTCACTGAGGTCATCATAACTCGAGAAGAGTCATCAATCCAGCTGACTTGACAAGAAAATAAACCAGGAGTGACATGGAGACAGATGAGGGCAAGGACATCTGGCCAATGAGCTGAAGAGGGGTGACCAATGTCCATAACCAGTGGACACATAGGGGGCACTGAGAGCAAGCCCTTGGGGCTTCCTTCCTTCCCCTTAGGTCTGTAAGTTTCCTGGCAGGCTCTCTGGGCTCATTTCTCCTCATCAGGGAAGTCAGACATGTGACCCAGTCTACATCGTTGGGAGGAACCATTTCTGACCAGTCTACAACAACTCTTGGTGGTGGTGGGAGGGGGAGCGGATATTCTAAGAGAAGAGGTGAGGAAATACCACACGGTTTTTAACAGGATTGCTGCCCATACATAAAGCTATTGGGGGCACTTCTGTCTTGGAGAGAGGGTGTGGCTTGAGTAGAGGAAATAGTAAGAATAAATAAGAATTCATGGCATGACATGACCTCATTTCGCACATTTATAAATGATCTAGAAAAGAGGGCCTCATCACATGTCGAAGCTTACAGATGCTGACCTCAGATCTTTTGTCACGTTCATTAGAATCAAGCAAAGACAAATGGCAAAAAACATTTTTTTTTTATGAGCATAAAGTATGAGCCAAGCTTCAAGATGGTGGCCATGGGATGAGCATGGTGCTGGGGTCATCACAGGGTGCCTAAAATATCACGAGGAGTTCTGGTCTCGCTGCCTCAAGAGAAACACGGTGGGGCTGGAGGAGGCGACTCAGGTGGTCAAGAGGGTGAGGGCAGGTGGCCTCTTAGGATCTTCTGAGGGGAACAGTTGGGGTGAATTATGTCATAAAAGGTGTGGAGAGAGCAAATAAGAGGTAGCATATCAGACCAGGATGGATGATGGGGAGTCTCAAGAGCAAAGCTGGGTCTGCCCTGGCTCTGCCCTTGCTGGTAGGTGCCCTTTGGCAGGTCCCTTTTTCCCTCTACGCTCCAGTGGGCGGGATAATGAACTCTACTGTGAAGGGCTCCCGCAAGAGGGAACAAGGTGCATGCCCGACCCCCGGGGGATGAGCTAGGAGGAGTGACCACGAATGAGGCAGGGCACACCCCGGGCGGCCAGGCATCTGCTGCAGATCCACAGAGCTGGCAGGTGCTAGAGACATTGCAGGAAGACTGTCTCCATGGGGGAAGATTAAAGAGCATCTCAGCCCCTGCGGGAATCTAAGCCTGGGAACACACCAGAGAGAGAAGGTCTATAAATCAGGCCTGACAGCTCCGCGGGGTCAGTGACAGCAGCTTAGAGCAAAGGTTCTTGGACTCAGCGGCAGATTAGATTAGAATCCCCCGTGGGAGCTTTGAACTACCCGATGCCCAGGTCCCTTCCCACACCAATTGCTCCAGGACCTCCCGGGGAAGACTGAGACCCCTGAGTTCTAGAAGCTCTCCGCATGTCACTGACGTGCAGCTGAATTGGAGAGCCAGCAGCTAGGGGGTCTTGGGGACGTCTCCAGCCCAGGGAAAACTTGCTGCTGAGTTGCTCGGTGCCACTTGGGTGGCACGGATTTGGGGCTGGTGGGCACAGACCTGCTCATCCCTTTAGGTAGCTGGGAGAGTCCTCATTTCAAGGCCACAGCTTGGCGCGGCACTGGCCGTGTCGCCTAGGAGTGACTCGTGCCAGCGACGCTGTCGGCGCCCTGCTCCCCAGCACGGTTTCCGCCCCTCGAGTGCGGGAGGCAGCCCCGTGGCACTGCCCGGGCCCCGGGGGAGGCTCTGCGGTCCCACCTTGCCGGTGGACTCGGTGCCCCGCAGGATGCACAAGTACACGACAAGCCAGGCCAGCACGAGGCAGAGCGCCGGCTCCCACTGCACGCGCCCGCTGTCCTGGATGGACGGGGAGATGTTGAGGGTCTTCCTGTACCAGAAGTACTGCGTGGAGGACGCCTTCTCACACTCCTCGTCGTAGCCCGTGCGGTTGTGGTTCAGCGGGCACACGGACCACGGCAGGGGATCCTTTGGGATCAAAAGAAGCATTACACGGACAGGTGAGGGCGGAGGCCGAAGGGCAGGGTGGGGAGGATGGGCACGGCCCCGATGGGAGAGTGCTGGTCCCCAAAGCACAGGGGCCCGAGTACCTGAAGGCAGACAGGGAATGGGAGGGTTGGTCAGGGGCACGGATGGGGTGTGGAGGGGGAGAGGTGGGCGGAGGGCTCCACACACAGTGCCACCCTACAGGTGTTCGTTGAGGATGACCTCGCTCTATCATGGGTCCAAAGCCTGGATCAAAAGGACAATGGCCAGGCCATGTCTGCGAGCAGAACCCACAATGTCTGCAGCAAGGAGCCCAGGGGGCTCCAACCACCACATCTGCAGTAACCACCCCAGTGTGGGAGGAAGGGGCAGGCCCTGGTCAGGGACCACCAGCTTCCCTCACTTGTGTGCTCCCCAGCTCCAGACCAACCGGGGAAGGCCAAAGATGCTCCCCTCATCACGTGGCTAGCACACCCACCGTCTCCCACACCTTCCAATTGGGGCACACTGGGGGCCTTCCCTCTGCCCCACACTTGCCCACCCCTCTGCCTGCCCCGGGGTCTGTGCCAAAGGCAAGTGGTAGGGAGCTCTGGATAAATAGCATTTGGGTGGACTCTGCTTATTTCCACACATTCCTAGCAAGTCCTGGCTTGAATAAGACTTGGGTCCTGCCCTCACTAACTGGTGGTGGAGACAGGCCTCTCCCACGAGGGACTCTGGGTTTAAAGAGTCAGGCGGGGATGAGGTGCAGCCTCCCTGCAGCCTTCTTGTGCCCCCTAAGGCGGAGTCTGGCACCGCTGACTTTGTTTGAGCCTGGGTCAAGCTATACCTGAAGCAGTGCCACTCCCAGACTCTGCAGAGAGAGCCAGGAAGAGCCTCTTCTGCTTCAGCTTGTTTGAACTGGGTTCTCCGTCACTTTGGAACACAGGAGCCTAAGGATGTGCGTGCCCAAGGACCGTGGCCCAAGGCCAAGTGCTCATACAGGTACGAGCTGAAGGAGGAAGGGCAGTGGATTTAATTCTGGCTCCAGAGCGGGCAAGGGGGTGGGTTAGGAGTCCCACCTCTGCTCCACCAGGCCCCTTATGTCAGAGTCCCATAAGCTCAGATTTCATTCGACAAAAGTTCTCCATGGACAGAAACAAGTCCTCGCCCGCTGGGTTCCATCTGTGCATTTCATAGGAGGCAGATGCCACCCGAGGGTCCAGGGCCGCTCTGCCAGCGGGCAGCTGGAGGTCAGGTTTGAGTCCACCTGGAAAGTGCTCCAGGGGACACTGTGTGAGTGGGACCCTGGCAGCAATCGGGGGTCTTCGCCCATTGGAATAAGTGGGTTTCCAGCTTCAATGTGGAATTACTTCAAAAGACAGCCACCAATGGTTCCTTCCATTGAAAAGCGGCATCTATGGCCCCTCCCTGTGACTCCTGGCTGCCTGGGATTTGCTTTGACCAGGAGAATGCAGCGAAATGGGGACACCTGGGTGGCTCAGCGGTTAAGCATCTGCCTTCGGCCCAGGGCATAATCCTGGAGGCCCGGGATCGAGTCCCACACCAGGCTTCTTGCATGGAGTCTGCTTCTCCCTCTGCTTATGTCTCTGCCTCTCTCTCTCTCTGTGTGTCTCTCATGAATGAATAAATAAAATCTTAAAAAGAAAAGAAAAGAAAAGAAAATGCAGGGAAGTGATGCCTTGCTCTTTCCTGGCCGGTGCTTCCTGGGGCCTTGTGGCAGTCATTGTGGCCCGCCTGGAAACCAGCTGATGTAAAGATCTTCGGGCCACACTGCTGAGTGACAGGGACTCATGGAGGGAATGACTACGCGGAGCCAACTGATGAGGTGCGGGCCACAGCCAGCACCACTCCCCAGGCAGGTGGGAGGGTCCCTTGTGGGCCTGGAGCCCAGTGGAGCTACCCAGCCTACAGGCCCTTGGCCATTCAGCCGGCCTGTGTGGGACTGACTGGTCCCCCCACCGTTGGACCACTGCTGAGGCAGCCTGGCCCGGCCTGGTTTCCAGCCTTGGCTATGGGATTGAATCCCCTGGGGGAAGGGACGCTTTAAAAAATATTTAAAAAATACGGTGCCCGGGCTGCACCCCCTGGGACTCTGGTTTCATTGGTCTGGGGTGGGGCCTGGGCATGGGAGTTTTGAGCGCTCCCTGGGGGATCCCAGTGCAGAGCCAGGGTGAAGAGGCTTTAGCGTGTATGTAAGGGTTGATTAACCTGCCCATTTCCAGGTACCTGGCCTCCCCTCCTCTGTCTGAATCAGTGGGTCAGGCTGGGGTCATTGCATCTGCATTTCTATTAGTCCCCCCCAACCTCCCCCCCCCCCCCCCCCCCCCCCCCCCCCGCCAGCTGCTACCCCCCGGAGGGGGGAGGGAAGGTTAGACAGGAAGCTGGGAAGACTGCCTGGTAGTGGGATAGACAAGAGCGTGGCCCCTGAGGCCAAGCTCTCAGCTACTCAGCTCCCCTCTGCCTCAGGCACCCCAGGGCACCCCACATCACAGGGCCGTGGTGATGGCTCCTAGGTGATTACTTCTGACGTGCTTGCAACTATGCCTGGCTCAGAGCAAGTGTGAGTGAGTGCCTACTGCTCATACCGTCCCTGCCCCTGCGTGAACACACAAGAGGTCTCCAGAGCACAGGGAGTGAAGGGGAAGTCCATGGGCCCATGAAAGATGGAACGAATGGACCATTAAGTGATTTTCAGGAATTGCTGGTCCTCATACTTTGGAGAGTTAGAAAAATGTGTCTCATTTCTTGTTTTCACACTGTGGAACATGGTCAAACTATTCTGATTTTGCAAAAACTGGACACGTTGCTTCCATCTTTGGAAAACTGTCTTTATACAGATCTGTAACACTGGCGATGTGTCTGGCAACCATTATTTGGGGGTGCTGTTGTGCAGTGCACAACCTGCCCAACTGCACATGACAGCTCCACGCAGAGGAGGAGGAACAGTCACTGGAGTGAAGAATAAGGGCCACTGCTATTTCTACCCAGAAGGGGGAAGAGAGGCAGGGCTGTGGAGTCAGGGAGATGAGGGGCAGCAACTAAGCTCAGAGCAGAGAGTCCTTCTTGTCAGGGACATACACAGGGCATTTTTCAGTGGAGGGACCCGGGTAGGGCTGACTCGGTAGCCAGAGTGGGGCGTGGATGTGGCATCTTCCCAAAGTCGATGCCAAGTCCCCGTCATTGAGGTCATTCCTCCAAGCATTCCTGGGGGTGCCAAAGATTCAAGGCTGTGCCCAAGTGTTTCAGAGAGTGGCCTCACAGGTTGGGGGACCCCACGGTCCATGGCCAGCCTTGCCTTGCTTTGGGGGACAGTGTGTATCCTGTGGAGGCCTGGTTCAGGGGCAAGGGCGTGGCACCTGCCCGGTGACCTTCTGAGACGGGGCTGCTGGAGGGCCAGAGGGGGCAGTGGGCAGGGGGGCCCCTGAGAGTGAGGGCAGGCATGGAGGAAAGGCAGTGAGCAGGGGCGGCCTCCCCCTGGCTGACTGGCTTGGAGGAATCCCATTGACTGTCTCCATGGTTTCTGGGGGAGGGGGTGCTCAATATTTGCTGCTGCTGGTGGGGGGGTGGGGGGTGGGGGGGTCACATCTTTCAGAGAGAACCAGGGGAAATCTAGAAAGCTGCTCCCCAGAAAAAATGGACACACGTGCATGCACACACAGGCCTGGGGCCGCGGATGCGGGGCCTACACACCCACTGTGGGGTTTGGGGTGCTTGACGTGCCCCCAGCCCGAGGCCGCCACCCCCAATCTTCATCCCCCCTGGGGGCAGCCGCTCACCTGGAAGGAGTGGAAGAGGTACCAGAAGGCCCAGGCGTTGATGATGTTGTAGTAGGTGGCGAGGAAGAAGGACGCCACCACGCTGGCGAGGCCTGTGAGGGGCACAGGAGCGCTGAGGCCTGCCCGCAGCCCCGGCCCCGCCAGCCACTCCCCATCTTGGCAACACCCCGGGCCCAAGTGCTGTGCTGAGTACTTGAGGTGCTTCGGGTCTTCCCGACAACTTCGTGGCGGGGGTGTCACTGCCTCCACTTCCGAGGGGAGAAACAAGGTGCAGAGGCTGCCCCCAGGGCGCTCAGCTCTTAGCGGCAGGAGGGCGCTTAGACCTAAGCGGAGGGGCAGGCTGCCCGCCAATGCCACCCTGCGGCTGGAGTCGCAGACCGTCCCCCGCGGCTTCCCTCAAGTGGGGTCGCTCGTGCCCAGCCCTGCCTGGCAGTGGAGGGCCATGGGGGCCTGGGGAGTGGAGGGGACAGGTCTGCCCCAAGCTGGCCAGCTTGCAGGGGGGCGGGAGTGCGCAGCCAGCCCACACGCCCCGAGCCACTGTGCGCATCGTGGCGCAGCCCACCCTCTGGCACCCGCGTGGGTGGCGGGCCTTGGGCCGCGGGGGGCGGGGGGGCATTCACACCACCGGCATCAGTAAATGCCCCGGCCCGGCCCTGCCTCCCCCTCCTTGGGCGAGAGCCAGTGGTTAAACAGTCGCCAGCACCCCTGCTTGGCGCAAACTGGTATCTTCCCTCTTGGCAGCAAATGCCACCTCGGAGAAGCCCTCTGTGATCCATCACTTGGGCAGGTTGCAAAACCACACACCTCCTTGTTAAAGATTAACAGCCCTGCGAGATGAGGAGGCAGCGCAGGGCTGGGGGGGGGGGGTGTCGGGAGGATTTGGGAGGCCACGGATGCGTTCCTTCTGCCTAGGAGACTAAACCCCGAGCCGAGCCGGTTTACCCTCTCCGCGCTCCTGAAACCCCACTTCGCTTCCCTGGCCGCCTTCCCGCCTGCGGGCCGGAGGGTTGAGCAGAAGAGACCGTGGCCAAGGCTGGCCAAAGGTCCTCCTGCTCACAGGCAGCCCTGGAACGTGAGGGTTGCACAGGGTAGGTTAACCATCTCCCAGAGGTGCCGGGGACGCCAGCTCGAAGTCACCCCAGGGGGGGGGGGCACCGTGGTGCCCTGCTTACAACCCATGTGCCTCTGCTTGCACGCACTGGAGATCTTGAGAGCGCCCCACGGCCTCACAGTGGTGTGACAAAGATTGCATGGGCTCATGTGCATCTGTCGTGCGGGCTGGCACCTGGCACATAGTAGGTGCTCACCGAGAGGGAGGTGTTGTTAGTAATAATTAGCAGGGAGCACTTAGGGGAGTTCCCTGAATGGTAGCTGGCTGGCACCCTGACTTCTAGCTCCTTGGTTGGGCAGCTAGCTCCCTCTTAGAGAAGAGCAAACTGAGGCCCAGAGAAGAGAAGCATGGTGACCTCAGCTCCCCAGCGGTGTCTCCCCCTTCTCACTGCCACGTGGGTAAGAAATCCAGCCCCTCTCAGCCGACATTCTGTGGCACCCCCTCCTCGGCTGTGTGTCCACCCATTCAAGGGCTCTCTCTTAGGCCTTGTGCTCACTCCTTGCTCCAGCTGTTCCGCCAATGGGCCTCCCGCCCAACCCCCCACTGTCTGGGATACGGCAGGGGGTCTCCAGGTGGGCAAGGACTGGAGAGTACCCACTTACCAACACCACTAAGGTAGGGGCTGATGGTCCTCCAGGCACCGATGCTGCCCTGCCGCATGCGCTGCCCCACCGCCAGTTCCAGGTACAGCAGAGGCATGCCCTCTACAAAAAGCATGATGATGTAGGGCACCAGGAAGCTGCCTGTGGGTGTCCAGAGCCAAGACCGGGCCATCACTGATGGGTTTTACTCGAGCCCACATGACCTCCACGCACGTGTCCTTCCATCCACCCTCCCTTCTTTCCTTCGGTCTTTCCATGTGTCCATTCATACCTCTGCTTTCCCACCCATCCTCTCACATTCCATCCATCCTCCATCCTTCTGCCTTCCCCTCTTCCTCCTTGTTCCACAACGCACTGTTCCTTCATTCCTCTCACCTGTCATTCATCCATCCGTATTCTTCCATTCGTTCATCCATCCACCCACCTATCCATCCACCCATCCATCCCATCATCCACCCGACCAACCATCCTTCCAACCATCCATCTATCCATCATCCATCCATCCATCCATCTATCCATTCATCATCCATTCATCCACCCAACCATCCACACATCTAGCCATCCATTTACCCATCCAAATAGCCACTGGTCCACCCATCCATCTAGCCATTCATCCATCCATCCACCCGAGTACCCACTCATACATACTCCCATCCACAGATCAACCGAACCATTCTTCCATCCATTGATCTATCCATCCACGCACCCATCCATCCAACCATTCATCCATCCATCCATCCATCCATCCATCCATGTATCCTTTTATCCTTTTATCTTTCATTTATCCATCTGTTCATCTATCTATCCATGGATGACATATGAACTTGTCAGTTAAAATGTTCAAATACTTCCATCCTGAATGATCAGCTGCCACCGTTCCAAGCCCCTTGAGTGCCTTCCTCAATGCCTCAGGTGCCCCAGCTCCTCTGCCAGAAACCCTAGTCCATCTTATGTTGTACCAACCAATGGCATGGGCAGGGGCTTGGTGTGTATGTGTTGGTCTCCAACAGACCGAGCCTAGGTCACCATTTTTTCAGAGCACCTCTACTGTGTGTGTATCTGTTTTATACAGTGGCCTTCAGCCTAAAATTTTATTTTGATAAAGAGTACAATGACTAACACACATTTAAAACCCACTGGTTTCTGAGGAGCCACCCACAAACAAGTTCCTGTGATGATGGTGGGGAGCCAGGCAGTATGGATGGAGCTATGGAAGCCCTCTCCACTGCTGACACCTGGACAGAGGGACAGAGGTGGGCAGCCTGCTGGGGGCTCCCTCCACCCCTGCCCTGCAGAGCACTGCCCTGCTTCTTCTCCCATGAGCCCCACCCCTCCTTCCCTCCTTCTCTGAAGCCCCGCTCATCCTCCCCCCTCCCCCCAGCTCCTTGGCAGTGGACCTGAGAAAAGGTCCAGGAGGAGAAGAGGGCAGGACTCCTGATTAAAATAAAACCCTGACACTACAGCTGTAGGGGTTAAGGGCTGGTTATAGAAGGAATTCATTCCAAAAATGTTCAGGTAAACGTGCTTACGTGAACATCTAATATTTACAAGGATGCCTCCACTGAATATATGGGCGGCCTCAGAGCCCACTTTTCTCCCCCAGCAGGATCTCACAAACCCTCTTCTGACCACAACCTGTACATGTGCATCACCCCTCTAGTAGCTGCTCAGTATTTCACTAGGTAAACACTCCCAGACTCCTTTCATCTGTCCTTGGACACTTAGCTGTAGCCAGTGTCCTCTCATCCTAAATAGAGCAGTGGGACAAAGGCTGGCCCTCATGTTTGGTTCTTTCCTTGGGATAGAAATCGCAGAAGTAGGATGGCTGGCACCAAGACCAAGCAGAGATGGAGCAGGGCCACCTCCTACCCTGGAGAAACAGGCACCGGCTGTGTGCACGGGACTGCCAGGCCTTTGCATTCCACGTCTGTGCTCCCTGCCCACACTGGGGCCTACGACAAGCGTTCCCTCTCACTTCTGGACTCTGTTCTGATGACGCCGCCAGGCCCTGCTCCCTTCCTGCCCTGCAGAAACATGTTTTGGCATCACACCAGGTTCCTCTTTGGTAGCAGGGAGTCCAAGAGGCAGGCTGCTGGGGGCTCCCACCCACCACAAACCTAACAACAAAGGTTATGTTGGCACCACCTGTTCAGAGCAACATTCAAACCCTCAGTGGTTCAGAGCAACATTCAAACCCTCAGTGGTTAGAAGAAAAGCTCATTTTCACCCAAGGTGTTAAACAGTAACCACATGAGGCCTGGCAAGGTCTGTGGCAGGATTTTCTCTTTGACAGGGCCTGCCTGATGGCCCACTGCCCATGGGAAGGCTGGAAATCCAAGGTCTGGTGCCCAGGTGGGGGCACGGGGGCTCTCGAGGCCTGCCCATCAGACAGTTCTATCACCCCTCCAACTATCCAAAAACACAATCTGAGTGAATTTGCTCTGCAATTGTTTTCTCCAAAAATGGTGTTAGAACAACTGAACACCCATATGCAGAAAAAATGAATCCCAACCCACATCTCACATTTTAAATGCATCCCCCACCCTACCCAACAAATATCTAAAATGGGATCACAGACCTATATGCACAACTCAAAACTATAAAACTTCTAGAAGACAGCCCAGGAGAAAAACTTTCTGACTGCAGGCTAGGCAAAGAGTTCTTGGCTACCACATCCAAAGCACTATCTATGAAAGAAGGTATGGATAAGTCAGATTTTGTTTTTAAATTGTGTTCTATGAAAGACACAATTAGGACAATTAAAAAGGCAAGCTAAAGACTGGGAGAAACATTTGCCAAAGACATATCTGACAAAGGCTTAGTGTCTATATTTATAAAGGACTTTCAAAACTCAACAATGAGAAAACGAAGAACTCATTCAAAAAGTGTATGAAAGAGGGGAATCCCTGGGTGGCTCAGCGGTTTAGCGCCTGCCTTTGGTCCAGGGTGTGATCCTGGAGACCCGGGATTGAGTCCCACATAGGGCTCCCTGCATGGAGCCTGCTTCTCCCTCTGCCTGTGTCTCTGCCTCTCTTTCTGTGTCTCTCATGAGTAAATAAATAAAATCTTCTAAAAAATGTATGAAAGATTTGAACAGATGTTTCACCAAAGAAAATATATGAATGGCAAATTAGCCCATGAAAAGTTGCTCAACATTGCCATTCATTATGAAAATGAGCACCTTCTAGCCACGCCGAGATGCCACCACACACCTACTGGGACGGCTAAAATAGAAAAATGCTGACAATACCAAGTGTTGGCGAGGATCTAGGGGAGCTCCTGTGCATCGCCAGTGACATGTAAGATGGCGCAGCCACTCTGAGAAGTGGTTTGCCAGTTTCTCATAAAGTTAAGCACACACTTGCTGTGTGATCCAGCAATCGTACGCCTATGTGTTTGCTCTAGAGAAGTGACAACGTTCACACAAAAACTTACATGTGCATGTTTATGGCAGCTCCATTCAGAGTTGTCAGAAACTGGAAACAACTTAATGGCCCTCCACTGGGTGAGTGGACAAATAAATGTGGTACGTCCATACAGCGAAATGCTACTCAGCCAGTAAAAAGGAACAGACTGCTAATTCATGCAACAGCGCCAGAGGCTCTCAGAAGCATTATGCTAAGTTAAAGATGCCAGATTCAAAAGGTGACATACTGTATGATTCCATTTTTGTAATTTTTTTTATTCATGATAGACGAGAGAGAGAGAGAGTGAGAGAGAGAGAGAGAGAGGCAGAGACACAAGCAGAGGGAGAAGTAGGCTCCATGTCGGGAGCCCGACGTGGGACTCGATCCCAGGACTCCAGGATCATGCCCTGGGCCAAAGGCAGGTGCCAAACTGCTGAGCCACCCAGGGATCCCCCATTTTTGTAAATTTTTAAATTTAAATCTAATCAATTAACATATAACGTATTATTGGTTTCAGAGGTAGAGGTCAGTGATTTATTAGTCTTATTTCATATCAAGTGCTCATTCCATCACATGCCCTCCTTAATGCCCATCACCCAGTTACCCCACCCCTAACCCCCTCCCCTCCAGTGACCCTCAGTTTGTTTCCTATGATTAAGAGTCTCTTACAGTTTGTCTCCCTCTCTGATTTTGTCTTGTTTTATTTTTCCCTCCCTTCCCCTATGATCCTGCTTTGTTTCTTAAGTTCCACATAAGACTGAGATCATAAAACTGTCTTTCTCTGATTGACGTATTTCCCATAGTATAATACCCTCTAGTTCCATCCACATCATTGCAAATGGTAGGATTTCATTTTTTTTTTGATGGCTGAGTAGTTTCATTGGATATATATATATATATATATATATATATATATATATATATACCACATCTTTATCCATTCATTTGTCCGATGGACATGTATGGTTTCATTTATATGACATTCTGTCCCCACTTCTAGGGAAACAGATCTGTGGTTGCTGGAGGTTGGGAATGGAAGGGCTGACTATAAGGGGCATGATGGTGGTGGAGGTAACACAACCATACATTTCTCAAGATTCATAGAAGGGGACACCAAAAAAAGTGTGTTTCTACATATACATATTTCTCAAGAAAAGAAAATTCAGTTTTGTGATCACTCTGAAAACAAGTCCATTAGCCAACCCTCTTCCCACTGGCCTCTCCCCATGTTCCTTTGATATAAAATCTCTGACCCTGTTTTAGCCTGAGGAGACCCCCTCGCCCCTGTCATCAGGAAGAGGAAGACGAAGGCCTTCGCTCCCGCGCCTTGTCGGGGCACACAGTGGGGGATTCAATACGGCTGCACAGTCTCTGGAGCCGCTCCTGAGAAGACCTTCCTATTTCCCTACCCATGAATCTGTGTTGGTCCTGGGACCAGCTCTGTCCAACAGGATGTGGGGGAGAGGATGGCATGGTGGTTCCAGAGCCCCGGCCTCAGGATGCCTTGCAGCCTCACCACCACCTCCTGGAGTGCTCCCTGAGGCCTCTACATCTGGAAGCCAGTCCAGGGGACCTGAGGATGAAAAGCCACATGGAGGAGAACCAAGGGCCCATCCAGCTCAGGGCCAAGTGCCCACGTGTGAGGGCTTACCCGGCAGATGTCGCCAGGACAGCCAGGCCTGGTGAAGCCCGGAGGGAGAAACGCCCAGGCACCCACAGAGCTGCAGGAAAGAA